AGCCATCCTTGCCGGCTTCTTTTGTCCTGCTCTGTGGGGAAACGAGTGAAGAAAGAAGCAGAAGGAAAGGCAAGTGAAATGGAGCCCTCTGTGAACAACCACGACTACGGTCACACACGGCAAAACTCCTAGCCTTACTTTGGGGAGTAGCCCTATTTCCATTCATAAAGGACCCACTTTATGCAAGATTCGGAGCTGGGAAATGGTCCTTCCTGCCTCAAGAATTTCAAAGACTTCCAGAGGAGGGTGTACAAAGACAGACAAGAAAGTGGCCAGTGCCCTGAAGATAGTCAGGGGATCCAGGGGAGTGTGAACCCCGAATATGTGAGACAGGTCTCAGTTAATTTAGAAAGTTTATGTTGTCGAGGTTGAGGATGTTCGCGGGTTACACAGCCTCAGGAGGTTCTGATGATATGCGCCCAAGGTGGTCAGAGCACAGCTTGGTTTTATACATTTTAGGGAGACATGAGACATCAGTCAACATATGTAAGATTAACATCAGTTTCGTCTGGAAAGGCGGGACAACTTGAAGCAAAGGTGGGACAACTCCAAGTGGCGAGGGGGCTTCCAGGTCATAGGTAGATAAGAGACAAATGGTTGCTTTCTTTTGAGTTTCTTTTTTTTTTGAGATGGAGGCTCGCTCCTATAGCGCAGGCTGGAGTGCAGTGGTATGATCTCAGCTCATTGCAACCTCCACCTCCCAGGTTCAAGCGATTCTCATTCCTCAGCCTCCCGAGTAGCTGGGATTACAGGAATGCACCACCATGCCTGGCTCATTTTTTGTATTTTAGTAGAGATGGTGTTTCACCATGTTAGTCAGGCTGGTCTCAAACTCCTGACCTCGGGTGAGCCACCTGCCTCGGCCTCCCAAAGTGCTGGGATTATAGGCATTAGCCACCGCACCCAGCCAATTTTTGTATTTTTAGTAGAGCTGGGGTTTCATCATGTTGGCTAGGCTGGTTTCAAACTCCTGACCTCAGGTGATCCATCAGCTTTGGCCTCCCAAAGTGCTGAGATTACAGGCATGAGCCACAGTACCAGGCCTACATACGCTTTAAGCCCTGCTTTTAGATACTATAAACATGACTCTTCTTAATCTGAGACAGATCATGAAACCAATGATATTAATATTGAATCACATCCTGGAACAACTGATACGCAAAAATTATGGCAGGTGGGAATGCTTTCAGTATTGTGTAAGATTCAGTTCAAAGGAAACAATAATTCACATTTCTAAAATTTAATTAAAAACCTGATAATTGGCCAGGTGTAGTGGCTCACACCTGTAATCCCAGCACTTTGGGAGGTCAAGGTGGGTGGATCATCTGAGGTCGGGAGTTCGAGACCAGACTGACCAACATGGAGAAACTCTGTCTCTACTAAAAATATAAAATTAGCCAGGCGTGGTGGTGCATGCCTGTAATCTTAGCTACTGGGGAGGCTGAGGCAGGAGAATCATTTGAACCCAGGAGGCAGAGGTTGCAGTGAGCTGAGATGGCACCATTGCACTCCAGCCTGGGCAACGAGAGCAAAACTCCATGTCAAAAAACAAACAAACAAACAAACAAACAAACCCCTGATAATTTTGACAAAACTCACAGGTAGCGGATTATTGCCTGAAATGTAAATATTAAATGAAAATGATTTGCAAAGCACACATCTTGTGGATGTGTGAAAAGGTGAATGTTCTAGCATATTGTCGGTGCTCAGAATTCAGTGAAAAACTAGTAATAATCAAGAAGAATTTGAAGAACATTATGAATGAGCTTCACATAATGAAGTCTTTGAAATAATAAATCCCTGAAATACTTTTTATCATAAAAAGAACAAAACATTGAAAAAGTGCCATTAGAATGCTAATATTACCTACTGTATAATTAGAGTATCTACTGCTCAATAGAGTCTTAAAAAAGGTTGTAAATAGTGCATATCATTGCAGTCTACATTAATGGTTACAATGGTAGGAAAATGTATATCTACCATGATGAGACAACTTTTTAGTAAATTTATAGATCTAGGCGATCAGTCATTACCAAGAAAGCTTCAATTACGTAACAAAAATGTGTTTTTATCAGTGACTTAAATACTGAATTGCAGACTTACAAAACTGATGATTTTTGCTCATCTGAGGAACTCAAATGATATCAAGCTTACTTACTCATCAGTGCTCAAGAAAAATGGTTTTGATGTGAAACGGTTATACAATGCTACAGATGGTTCTAGTATATGTCACAGAGAAAGTTCAGGGTGCCAAAGTTTTAGAGAAGTCTCTGTATGGCCAGGCGTGGTGGCTCATGCCTGTAATCCCAGCACTCTGGGAGGCCAATGCAGGCAGATCACGAGGTCAAGAGATCGAGACCATCCTGGCCAACATGGTGAAACCCCATCTCTACTAAAAATACAAAAATTAGCTGTGCATGGTGGCATGTGCCTATAGTCCTAGCTGCTTGTGAGGCTGAGGCAGGAGAATTGCTTGAACCTGGGAGGCAGAGTTTGCAGTGAGCAGAGATTGTGCCACTGCACTCCAGCCTGGTGACAGAGCGAGACTCTGTCTCAAAAAAATAAAATAAAATAAAAATAAAAAGTGTCTGTATATTTTAAATTGGTACTATATAAGTTACTGTATTCAATGATGTCAGGATGATACAGTAAAATCTTTAAATGAAAAATTAAATATTTGCTTCACAACCTTTATATTACAACTACACATGAAATAAGCATTTGGGAAAATTAAAAATATTTCTAAAGATACTGGGATTGAAGTCACGAAACTAGAAAGCATATTTGGGCACTCTTTAATAGTGGAATGTCAAGAACATTAGGAAATTGTACCAAACCTTTTATATTCACTTTAATAAAAGTTGTGAAATGGGAGTGGTAAGTGTTTGGGACATAAACTTTTTTTCCCAGAAATTTGACATTAATAACTTACATTTTTTTTTTTTTTTCTTTTTGAGACGGAGTCTCACTCTGTCGCCCAGGCTGGAGTGCAGTGGCCAGATCTCAGCTCACTGCAAGCTCCACCTCCCGGGTTTACACCATTCTCCTGCCTCAGCCTCTCGAGTAGTTGGGACTACAGGCGCGCCCGCCACCTCGCCCGGCTAGTTTTTTGTATTTTTTAGTAGAGACGGGGTTTCACCGTGTTAGTCAGGATAGTCTTGATCTCCTGACCTCGTGATCCACCCGTCTCGGCCTCACAAAGTGCTGGGATTACAGGCTTGAGCCACCGCACCCGGCCTAATAACTTACATTTTAACAGAGATGTCAATATTATCTTTATCCTTTCCAGAGGGAAATATTTAAAATTGCAGAAGCTCGATTAGTTGTAGAAAAATAAGAATCAGTTAATATATAAAATTAAATACATAAAGCAAAGGGGAAAAAGTAGACAGTATTGTTTAAAAATATGATATACTATTTGAAAGAAAAATGTTGACTTCAAAAGAAAAAGTCAATTAGATTATCTGATAATTTATGTGATTGCAACTGTAGTTTGATGACAAAAGTAAAATATATTAAGAACTTGAAAATTTTAAATTCAGTCAACCATGAAGTATGTGTACAAGCTTCATAGATGTAACCCATTAAATCAACACAATTTTTAAATTAATCAATACAATTAAGCCTACTTATTAAAGATGGCTTATATTAATTGATTTTTGTGGTGGAGTGAACAGAAATATTAAATAAATAAGAATTTCTAGGCTGGGTGCGGTGGCTCACGCCTGTAATCCCAGCACTTTGGGAGGCCGAGGCTGGCGGATCATGAGGTCAGTAGATCGAGACCATCCTGGATAACATGGTGAAACCCTGTCTCTACTAAAAATACAAAAAATTAGCCAGGCGTGGTGGCGGGAGCCTGTAGTCCCAGCTACTCAGGAGGCTGAGGTAGGAGAATTGCTTGAACCTGGGAGACAGAGGTTGCAGTGAGCCAAGACTGCGCCACTGCACTCCAGCCTGGGCGACACAGTGAGACTGTCTCAAAAAAAAAAAAAAAGAATTTCAGACAGCAGTTCAAGGGCTAAAAAATCTTTAACATAACTGCTAAAGTGAGAGGATTTGGCACCATGAACAATATAGTTGATGTTACACACGTCATAATATACAAACAATTTAGTGGGGAAATTATCAGAAGCTTATACAAGACTCTTTTGTCAAATCATGGCTAACATAGGCATATATCACTTAACCAGTAATTACTACCTAAGAAATGCAAAAATGTTTAAAAATCCATAAATAATTTGGAAATTGTTATAACAATTTAAGAAATTATTTATATTATAACTGTGTCACTTGGTAAATAGTTTTATAATCATTTAGTTAGAAAAGAAAAATAGCACAATTGGGAAATTTTTATTTATATATTAATTTGCATTACCATACCAGTTGTCAACTATTTTGAATAGCACTCTTGATCTCACATATAGTTTGCTTGTAGTAAGTATTGATTGAATGATGTTTGACATAAATGAATGAAGATGACAGCCAGGACACCCAGGACAAGTGAAAACAGAGCTGAAGGAGTGTAAGGGTTGCAGTACTTACTGTCTTTTAGCTAAAGTATTTAGAAACAGAAAGGATAAGCGCACAGAGGAATAGCATAGCAGAAATCATGTGACTTTCTTATGTTAACCCTTCCCCTTGTCTAGACCCTATTTGTCCATATGGGCATCTCCCTATAAAGACCAAGACTCAGAAGTTTGGATAGCTATACTTCTTTGCCTCTGTTTTCATGAAGCCGAGTCCTCTGTTCGCTTTGGTTGCCGCCACTAGCTCTGCAGCTGGGCTGCCCATGTGTACGCAGATGTCATGAAAATATCAAGTTCCCTCAGCAGCTTGAACTGCGGGGAGGCTCAGAGAAGGGAGATTTCCTGAGCTGCTGACTTACTGCGGGACTGACTCAGTAAGATTCCAGGCACTAGACAGAGCTAGTTAGGAAAGGAAACATTTCCTGTTTGCCTCTGCGGGGAAAAAGAAACTCTTCGGACTGTCGCCTGGCTCTAACACCGGAAAGGAAAGCGAGGCGGTTCATCCCCCAGAAGAGCAGCAGGCAGGGCCACTGAGCATCCCACGGCCACCAGCGGAGCTGTCCTGCTGTCCTTGCAGGAGTGCCCTGTCTCCCAGAATCTCCTCCTGGTGCTATCCCCACCCTGCCTGAAAGAAGTGAGGAGGATGATGGGGAGAGAGCCAGACGGGCTGGGGTTGGGAGGAGTGAGTGCCCTTGATTTTTCTCTTATCCAAATTCAACTTTCATTTTAGATTTCCCTCCAACTCTTCAAAGCAAGCATCGCTACTCTTAATTTCTCATACAGAACTACTTAGGGGCGGCAAAAACCTCGTGGGATGGTGGGGTTTCCTGTGCTTTTAATTGAAATGATTTCTTTGTGGGTTCCCAAAGCTAAATTGTCCTTGGTCACACTGGAAGGAAATAAAGAAAAATAAGTATGATTATTGTACCAAGTAGTGGGATTGCAGGTGAGGTTTTTCTTGTTTATTAGAAAATTCTTGGCCAGGCGCGGTGGCTCATTACTGTAATCCCAGCACTTTGGGTGGCCGAGGAGGGCAGATCACGAGGTCAGGAGATTGAGACCATCCTGGCTAACACGGTGAAACCCCGTCTCTACTAAAAATACAAAAAATTAGCCGGGCGTGGTGGCGGGCGCCTGTAGTCCCAGCTACTCAGGAGGCTGAGGCAGGAGAATGGCACGAACCCGGGAGGCGGAGCTTGCAGCGAGCCGAAGTTGCGCCACTGCACTCCAGCCTGGGCGACAGTGCGAGACTCTGTCTCAAGAAAAAAAAAAGAAAAGAAAATTATTTTCTTGTTGTTTTTACAGTGATGTGCAATAAAAACAATTGGGAGAAAAAAGAAGAGTTGACCTGGATTTTCATAATGCAAAGAAAATGGCACCCAAATTCCCACTACAAAGATTTACATGTATTATCCAATTCAATTCATTCAGAATTCCGTGAAGTCAGTCAGTTATCCCAGCTTAACTAACAGATGTTAGGAACGAGACTTGAAAGTGCTCAGCCAGGCTCGGCGCGGTCGCCCATGCCTGTAATCCCTGCACTTTGGGAGGCCAAGGTGGGTGGATCACCTGAGGTCGTGAGTTGGAGACCAGCCTGACCAACATGGATAAACCCCATCTTTACTAAAAATACAAAATCAGCCGGGGCGTGATGGCGCATGCCTTTAATCCCAGCTACTTGGGAGACTGAGGCAGGAGAATCGCTTGAACCCAGGAGGCGGAGGTTGCAGTGAGCCAAGATCACCCCATTGCACTCCAGCCTGGGAAACAAGAGCGAAACTCTGTCTCAAAAAATAAAGAAAAAAAGAAAAAAGAAAGTGCTCAGCCAGGATGTCATACCAAGTCTGTGGTGGAGTGCCAAGATGTCCTCTGCGGAAAGAATTACGTGTGCTGGCTGAAACAACACCAATAAACACTTTAGGCTTTGAGTTGGACACAGTTTGGTAAATACATGTTCCACAATGTTCCAGTCTTTCAGTGTCCCATGGGATATTTGCTTCCCCATAGAGAGCGTAGGTAGAGGTCCTTTACATACCCTGCAGGGACGCTGATTTGCATGGGGAGGGCTGGCACACAGCCTCTGCTGGGTATGAACAGTACAAGCCTCTGGAGGCTGTGCTCTGTTAAGAACTTGGAGCTGGTTGGGGCCCTCCAAGGCCCTGTGCTGACAGCTGGCCTGGGGGCTTCTCCTCACTAGGGTCTTCTCTCAGTATCTCAAGGTGGGCACAGTCTCTCCTGGGCACGCAGGCAATGGGCTGGACAAGTATCTCTTTCCTCTAAGGCCCAGTCACCAAGTATTCCCTCCAGGGGGCCGGGTTTGGAAATTCTCACTACATATAACAGCCCTTCTGTTGTCTCGTATTTTCTAACTCTAGAGTGGTGGTTCCCAGTCTCTTTATTACTAAGGAAGCATAGGTGAATTCTTCCCTCCCTGTTTCAACGTGGTTTTAACTACCAAAGAGAATCCTCTAAGTGATCGTTTGCCTTCCTTTCCTTCTTTTCTTTTCTTTCTCTTTCTCTTTCTTTTTTTCGCGGAGTTTCACTCTTGTTGCCCAGGCTGGAGTACAATGGTGTGATCTCAGCTCACTGCGCAACCTCCGCCTCCTGGGTTCAAGCAATTCTCCTGCCTCGGCCTCCTGAGTAGCTAGGATTACAGGCATGTGCTACCACACCCAGCTAATTTTGTATTTTTGGTAGAGATGGGGTTTCTTCATGTTGGTCAGGCTGATCTCGAACTCCCGACCTCAGGTGATCCACCCACCTTGGCTTCCCAAAGTGCTGGGATTACAGGCGTGAGCCACCGCGCCAAGCCTTCATTTGCTTCCTTATACTGTTCATCAAGATATATTTAAGATCAGCATGAAGACAAGGTTACATCATTTACAATATATGGAAGTAAGTCCCAGTCCCCATTAAGATCCTAGTCTGGGCTAGCTGACTGAGAGGGGCTGTTAAAATGTAGTAATAGGAGTAGCTGTCTCCCTTTCATTCTGCTGCTATGGCAGATGCTTTTTTCCTCTAGGAACACTGACATCTAGAGATCTATGATTCATAATCTTGTGGCTAGAAATGAGATGTCAAAAGAGGACAAGATCACTCAGGTTCCTCCTTTCCTTGAGTTCCCTCTCCTGGGCCAATTAAGAACAGGCACATGGAGAAAGGAACCCAGGATTATCCCATAATCACACAAAGATCTGTTCACATACGATGGCCCAAGGAGGCAGGGCCTGCCCATGAGTCACCTTTATCTACATAATGCAGCCTAACTATCCTGTTTTGCTTTTAGCTATTCAAGACTTTTCCAACCATGGAGAAGTCCTGTGGCATGGGCTGTTTTCCCAACAGTATCTTGACTGAATCACTGAGTGTCATGCCAGAGGAGTGGGACCTGGTTGACCTCTCTTCCATGGTGTCCAGGTGCCCAGGAACCCCTATGTGGTAGTGGGATCCAGGTCTAAGAAAGCACAGCTCCTGTGTGGCCTCATAGGGAGTAGGTGCCTCACTGGGCTGGTTCTAAATTGTTCCAGGGTCAAGGCAGCAGGCATAAAGAACCTACTCTTTCATCCTTCCAACATTTTTTTGGTAATAACCCAATTCCCTAATTAAAACATCTACAGTGGTGTCTTACATTTTTCAAAGAATAACTCAAACATTTCTTCCTTGGAAAAACCTAAGTCTCCTAAAATAGGGGTTCCCAACCCCTGGGCCATGGACTGGTATCAGTCCACGGCCTGTTAGGAACTGGGCCGCACAGAAGGAGGTGAGTGGCAGGCGACCAAGCATTAGCGCCCGAGCTCTGCCTCCTGTCAGATCAGCAGTGGCATTAGATTCTCATGGGAGTGTGAACCTTATTGTGAACTGTGCATTCGAGGGATCTAAGTTGCTCACTCCTATGAGAATCTAATGCCTGATGACCTGTCAGTGTCTCCCATCACCCTCAGATGGGACTGTCTCATTGCAGGAAAACAATCTCAGGACCCCTACTGACTTTACATTATGGTGAGTTGTATAATTATTTCATTATATATTACAATGTAATCATACAAATAAAGTCCACAATAAATGTTATGTGCTTGAATCATCCCCAAACCACCCCTCCGAAAAATTGTCTTCCATGAAACCAGTCCCTTGTGCCAAAAATGTTGGGAACCACTGTCCTAGAAAACAGTTTCCTCCCTGACTTTTAGCATTTTGTACGTTTCTTTCAGCACTAACCACAATAGTTATCTTTAAGTCTGTGTATTCATTGTTACTAAATCTTAGGTTCCTTCAGTGCAGGAACTTTTCTCGCCACCTAGTCCCACCCTGGACCTCACAACATTCTGTGAACATAGGAAGGGTTCAATAAATATTTCTAAAAGATCCCTTGGAGTTTGGCTTAAAAAGATTTAAGATCTAAAACTGAGGAAGGCAGATCTTTGAGGTAAGGCAAACGTAGCCTGCCGATATGGCAGGAAGTAGAAATGGGCAGACCAAGTAGAGAAGGAAAACAGTTCATCTTTCTGGGACACTAATAAGGAGTAACAGTTTCCCTTCAATTCTTTACAAAATAGGATGTAGGAGTCCAAATTTCCATCAAATCTATAGATCAATTTTCTTTGCATCAATTGACTTCTGGTGGAGTGCGGTGGCTCATGCCTACAATCCCAGCACTTTGGGAGGCTGAGGTGGGTGGATGACCTGAGATCAGGAGTTCGAGACCAGCTGGCCAACATGGTGAAACCCCCATCTCTACTAAAAATACAAAAATTAGCTGGGCTTGGTAGCGTGTGCCTGTAATCCCAGCTACTTGGGAGGCTAAGGCAGGAGAATCACTTAAACCCAGGAGGCCAAGTTTGCGGTGAGCCAAGATCATGCCATTGCACTCTAGCCTGGGTGACAAAAGTGAAACTCAGTCTCAAAAAAACAAACAAACAAACAAACAAAAAAGACGTCTTTGTTGTTGCTAAAATGCAAAGATTCTGGGCTTACGAAGAAACTAATACTTTAGTAGGAATGCTTGAAATAAAAATACCTACCACTAACTGAAACCAAAATATCAGGTTGACCATTTTGTGTTGCTGTAATAGAATGCCACAGACTGAGTATTTTATAAAGCATAGCAGTCTATTTCATGGTTCTGGAGGACAAGAAGTCTAATATCAAGATCCTGGCATTTGGTGAGTCTTTTTGCTGTATCATCTCTTGGTAGAGGCAAGTGGGTGAGTGAGGGCAAGAGGTTGAACTCTCCTCAACCTCAATCCCTTTTATAATCAGTATTAATCCATTCATAAAGTTGGAACCCCCATGGCCAGCCAGCCATTAGGCTTCACTTCTCAATATGGTTGCATTGTGGATTCAGTTTCCAACACATGCTTTTTGGAGGACACATTCAAACCACAGCACAGATACTTTATATTAGCTTTATAAAGACTCTCCCAAGAAAACAGTGCCATGTACAAGATGAGGAACTGGAGCCCAGACAGGTGAAGCCCCACTGCGTGTAACACAGGAAGAAATGGCACAGTAAAAATTCACACCCAGGACTCCCTGGGCTTTTCACCACACATATTGCCTTCTCATTGGATATCACCTGACAGAATGAGACTCAGGTGATTACAGGGATTCACCAGGAAAAAGGGGAAAGTTGGCATGACCAGAACTAGAACACTGGCCAGTGAATGCAGTTCTGGGTGGACCATGGCATTGGAAGCCCAAGGATAGCTTGAATGTGGTTTAAAAAAAAAAAAAAGGCACAAAATGCACAAATGAGACAAATGATGCTCAAACACAGCTTTTGTTTTACTTCAAAGTTTACTTCAGCTCAGCTTGAGGTGGTGAGGGGAATGAAGCAGATGCTGTTAACGGGCCATAGGAGAGAAAAGGTATCTGTGGGAAAAGAATAATCTCTTTTGACTCCATGTGCTGCCTCACAGACACACTGGAGCAGGGATTGGGCCCCCAAGACCTCAGGTAGCCCTGTGCCTATGGCTTCGCTGGGTGCAGCCTACATGGCTGCTCGAATGGGTTATAGGCTGGTGCCTGAAGCTTTCCCAAGGGGGCGTTGCATGCTGCCACTGACTCCACAGTTCTGGGGTCCTGGTGGTGGTCAGGTCCTGCTCCCACCGCTCCACAATGCACTCTCCTGTGGCCTGGATCCACTAGACACTAGACATTTCCCTGGTGGTGGCTCTCTGTGGCAGCTGCACCTCACATTTCCACTTGGCATTACTCTAGTGGAGGCTCTCTGAGGGCTGGGCATGCTAGCTCAGTTCTCTTTTCCTCTTCTTATAAAGCCACCAGTCCCATTCCTGTGATAACCCATTAATCCATTAACCCATGAATGAAGGTAGAGCCTTATCATCCAATGACATCTCAAAGGCTCCACCTTTCAGTATTGCCACATCAGGGATTAAGTCTCAACATGAGTGTTGGAAGGAACATTCAAACCAAAGCAGTATGAAAACAATATTCAACTCCAAGGTATATGAAAACAATATTCAACTCCAAGGTATATGGTCAAGATTACAGGTAGTAAGGAATAGGCTAAATTTGCCGGAGATGTGCTGTGGAATTATCTGTCTGTATTTCTAACTATGACTTTAGCTTCCTCAACTCCATTTCACTGCAGAATATGAAAAAATAAATTGAGATCCAGGTTCTTTTTTTTTTTAATTTTTATTTTTTAAGACAAGAGTCTCACCCTGTCACTCAGGCCGGAGTGCAGTGGCACAATCTCGGCGCACAGCAACCTCTGCCTCCTGGGATGATGTCATTCTCCTGCCTCAGCCTCCTGAGTAGCTGGGACTACAGGTGACTGCCACCATGCCCAGCCAATTTTTTGTATTTTTTAGTAGAGACAGGGTTTCACCGTGTTGGTTTCGATCTCCTGACCTCATGATCTGCCTGCCTCGGCCTCCCAAAGTGCTGGGATTATAGGTGTGAGCGGCCGTGCTCTGCTCAGTTTCTTATTTTTAATAGAAAAGTAGGAGAACAGGGAAGGCACACAGGTGGCACACAGGTCAGTGTGAGGAAGGGGGTCATGGAACAGACACGGAGGTGGAGGGTATGTCAGCCTCATATTATGCTAACAGGGACAGACAGATCTCAGAGGCCCTTGCAAAAGAGTAGAGCTGAGTCCCTTAAGACACAAAGGGGAGGGCAGGAAGAACCTGCAGATCTCAGCCGCACGCAAGGCAGCTGTCTCAGGCTACAGAAGAAAAATAGTCATGAATAAATTCAGGTCAGTCACAGTAAGTGATGACACCTGAACAGCCTACCACACACTCAAAAATTCCAAATGTGGGTCCTCACAACCCAGTCCTGTCCCATCTGCCCCACCTCCACCCACTTCAGACCCCCAGAATCTCACCTTACAAGCTGAGAGACTCCATCAGATCCCTGGGCACCAATACCACCTGGGGTAGAACAAAACAAGACTGGTTAGAGCCCACAGGAGATGTGGCAGGAGGAATTATGTGGGGTGGGCGAGCCTCCACACTCCCGCCCCCATCACTTACACAGCCTGAGAGAGCTCCATCCTTTTCTACCTGTTAGAAGAAATGTCCTGTAGGGGCCAGGAGGAGGCAGGGACATAAGGTCCTCGAGGAACCTCCCCAGTCTTGGATCCCAGAGAAGTATCCAGAACTGCACTGCAGACCCAGGGCAGGATCAGGAAACATGGTGCCACCAGGGTCCTGACCAACTGCCCTCCTGAGGTCTGTCCTCAGCAGGGACTCCCTGTGACCTGTGACTGCTGGGCTCAGATCCCCATCACCACAATCATCAAGGTGATAAATCTGTCCTTCATCGTCACAGGTACCACAGGCGCGGTGGCTCACGCCTGTAATCCCAGCACTTTCAGAGGCCAGGCAGGTGGATCACCTGAGGTCAGGAGTTCGACACCAGCCTGGCCAACACAGTGAAACTCCCATCTCTACTAAAAGTACAAAAAATTAGCCTAAAGTGGTGGCACGCACATGTAGTCCCAGCTACTCGGGAGGCTGAGGAGGCAGGAGAATCGGGCCTGAACCTGAGAGGCAGAGGTTACAGTGAACTGAAACCACGCCATTGCACTCCAGCCTGGGTGACAGAGCCAAGATTCCATCTCAAAAAAAAAGAGTAGGTGCTGGCACACAGGGCCCAGGCTGGGTCGGCCCATGTGTGTGGATGGTGCTTCCCAGTAACAAGGCAGGACACACTTCTGCCTAGGGCTGAAATCTCCCAGTGGGGCCAAGAAAACTCAGACTCTACCCTTCTCCCCTTCCCCACCTGAGCTTCGTCTCTCCCCTCCACATCACAGCAGCAACCACAGCTCCAGTGACCAGCCCAAGGAGAACCAGGTCAGCAATGATGCCTACGATGGGGATGGAGTGTTGGGGAAGGCGGCTCTGGGAAACAGGGGAATGTGGTGGCCCTGACCCTCAGGCCTCAGCCCTGATCTCCTGCAAAAGGGCTTCAGAAGGGCTCCTGCTTTCCCTAAGAGACATGACCTCCCATTCCCTTCCTTACCCCATCTCAGGTGAGGGGGCTCGGTAGCCCTCATGCTGCACATGGCACGTGTATCTCTGCTCCTTTCCAGAAGGCACCACCACAGCTGCCCACTTCTGGAAGGTTCCATCCCCTGCAGGCCTGGTCTCCACAAGCTCCGTGTCCTGGGTCTGGTCCTCCCCATCCCGCTGCCAGGTCAGTGTGATCTCCGCAGGGTAGAAGCCCAGGGCCCAGCACCTCAGGGTGGCCTCATGGTCAGAGACGGGGTGGTGGGTCACGTGTGTCTTTGGGGGTCTGAGGAAGAGTCAGAAAATTCACTTTGCATCTCTAAGGGACACTCCAGCAGCACCTGTGACCATCCTGAGATGGAAGAGGACAATTATAGTAGGAGACGAGACAAAACCTGACACCAGCCTGAACTCAGGGATCTGGGATAGCCTCTTCATTCTTGGAAAGTTCTAGAATCGGGGTGAGATAGCCCAGGATAGAAGGTGAAAAGGGATTTGTGGTCCTGGCCTGTGCGGATGCTGAGTGACTGAGAAAAGCTGGAGTCAGACCTCCAAATCCTTGGTGGGGCTGAGAACCAGTACCTAGAGAAACTCTGATGAGATTCTAACACTGAGAGTCAAAGAGAACTGCTCATCAGTTCATTTGAAGAATGGACTTCCAGCCAGACTAGATTCCCTTAATTGTCCCTGAGAGAAGGCTGGTCATTTAAGAGAGTCACTCTCTGTACAGGATCTCCTGTACCTGGGGTGACAGCCCCTCTCCTGATCCAAGGGAGAGGCATTCTGCCTCCGCCCCCGCGTCTTCTACTGTTTGAGGTCTGTCAGGCTGTGGGCACAGTCCTAGCCTAAGAAGGAGATGGGAGAGTAGCCCAGACTCCTCTTACCTCAGCGCTGCAGCGTCTGGGCTTCCCCATTCTCCAGGTATCTGCGGAGCCACTCCACGCATGTGTCTTCCAGGTAGGCTCTCTGGTGCTCCGCCTCAGAGCTATCATTTGACTTTCGCTCGAAATCTGAGCCGCCGTGGTCCATCGCGACCAGGAGCGAGGTCCTCATTCAGGGTGAGATAACTTTGCCATCGTAGGCGAACTGTTCATACTCAAGGGAGGAAGTGCCTGTCGGGCCTCAGGTCGCAGCCATGCATCCACTGGAGGGTATGAGACCCTGGCCCTGCTCAGTCAGTCCTGGCCCACCGAACCCCTGCCCTGTCGCCAACCCGCAGGATTTTGGCCTAAACTGAAAATGAAACTGCAAAGGAGCCTGGGACTTGCCGGGCGAGGGTCTGGGCGGGTTCCGCAGCCTGGGGGTGAATCTCGGACCAGGAGACTCGAGGGGACCTGCGTTGTCCATGAGGGATGGGGGAGGGGGTCGTGACCTGCGCCCCGGGCCAGGGTCACTCACCGGCCTCGCTCTGGTTGTAGTAGCGGCAGCAGGGTCTGCAGGTTCACTCGGAAAGTCTGTGCGGGTGTCCCGGCGCTCCGTGTCTCCTGGTCCCACACTGGCCCCTCCTGCTCCATCCACCACGCCCGCGGCTCCATCCTCGAACCCGCGGCATCGCTGTCGTACCGCACGAACTGCGTCGTCCACGTAGCCCACGGAGATGAAGCGGCCTCCCGCGGCCGGGCTGGACACGGAAGTGTGGAAATACTTCAAGGAGTGGAGCCTGGGGGCGAGAGGAGGGGCTGAGACTGGTCCGGCTCACTCCAGGCGCGGCTCCCAGAGTCCTGCGCCCCTGCCGAGTCCGGCCCTCTCCTCCGGGTAGAGGCTGCTCTATCCTGACTCCCTGCACTCACTCCGCCCAGGTCTTGCAAGGGCCGAGAGCAGGAGAAGTAGGGTTCCTAGTGCCATGACGCTATTCTCTGAGTCGGTAGAGCCCCTGAATCCGTGGTGCGTGCGGACTTTATAGTCGGGAGTCGGCGACGCTGATTGGCTTCTCTAGAAACCCGACACCTACTGGGAATGCGAACTGAGTCTGCGTCATGAGTATCCGGGAAGAAGGACACGACCAGGTTACGAGGAAATGAAAGGGTTTGAATCACCAACGCTGCGCTCCTCCCAGGTCTCCACACCTGCCCTGGGGCCTGAGACCCCGACAGCTACGCGCGAGGACCTGGAACATTATTGTTCTGCGCTCACCTCCTGACCTGAGCGCTCTTTGTTACACTCTCTCTGAGTCCTGGCCCAGGGACTGTGTAAACTGTGTAACCAGTGTTATTTTCGTGTGTGTGTGTTTTTGGAGCTGGGGGTGTGTGTGTGTGTCTGTGTGTTGGGGGGTGGGGTGTCTGCCCCGTTGACCAGGCTGCTCTCGAACTTCTGACTAAAGTGATCCTCCTATCTCGGCCTCTCAAAGTGCTAGGATTATCGGCATAGGATTACCGGCATGAGCCACCCTGCCCGGACATTTTTTTTTTTTTTCTGAGACAGTCTCACTTTTTGTTGCCCAGGCTGGAGTGCAGTGGCGCGATCTCGGCTCACTGCAATCTCCGCCTCCCGGGTTCACACCATTCTCCTGCCTCAGCCTCCCGAGTAGCTGGGACTACAGGCACCCGCCACCACGCCCGGCTAATTTTTTGTATTTTTAGTGGAGACAGAGTTTCACTGTATTAGCCAGGATGGTCTCGATCTCTTGACCTCGTGATCTGCCCACCTCAGCCTCCCAAAGTGCTGGAATTACAGGCGTCAGCCACCGCTACCCACCTACCCGGCGATATTTTTTATATATGTATATTTTGTAGAGTCGGGTTTTCTATGTTGCCAAGGCTAGTCTCAAACTCCTGGATTCAAGCACCAGCCCAGGCCGGCCTCCCAAGGTACTGTGTTTACAGGCGTGAGCCTGCATTGTTAAACATTGTATTGTTTTAAATCCCAAAGTGTTGGAATTATCGCGCAGAGCCATCGCCCCCAGCAATTAGCCCTACTGCTCTTAAACTTTAGGTTTCAGTATCTCTCTGTGCACTCTAGAAATTAGTGAGGACCCGGCTGGGCTTATGACTGAAGCCTGTACTCCCAGCACTTTGGGAGGCCGAGGCAGGCTGATCACCTGAGGTTGGGAGTTCGAGACCAGCCTGACCAATATGGAGAAACCCCATCTCTACTAAAAATCCAAAAAATTAGCCGGGTGTGGCGGCGGCGCATGACTGTAATCCTGCCTATTTGGGGGATAGAGGCCTGGCCATTTGGGAGGTAGAGGCAGGAGACCGCTTGAACCCAGGAGGTGGAGGTTGCCGTGAGCCAAGATCCCGCCTTTGCCCTCCATCCTGGGTAACAAGAAAAAAGAAATTAGTGAGGACCCAAATAAATTTTGTTTCTGTGGCTTGTGTCAAGTTTTATCATATATAAATTAAAACAGATTAAAACAAAATATTAAAAATATTAATTTAATGTATTAATAACTCATTACATGTTAATGGAAAACTTTTGTTTTTTTTTTTTTTTTTTTTTGAGTCAGAGTTTGCCTGTCCCAGGCTGGAGGCAGTGGGAACGATCTCGGCTCACTGCAACCTCTCCTAGGTTCAAGTGATCCTCCTGCCTCAGCCTCCCAGTAACTGGGACTACAGGCGTGTGCCACCACGCCCCAGCTGATTTTTGTGTTTTTAGGTAGACACGGGTTTCACCATGTTGGCCAGGATGGTCTTGATCTCTTGAGCGGAAATAACATATTTTTAATGAAAAAAAACCGCCTAACTTTTACTTTTTCCAAAATTAACAACAGGCAGGGGTACGGTGGCTCACGCCTGTAATCACAGCATTTGTAGCTGGGGATGACAGATCACGAGGTCAGGAGTTCAAGACTAACCTGGCCAACATGATGAAACCCTACTAACAATACAAAAATTAGCTGGGTGTGGTGGTGCACGCCTGTAATTCCAGCTACTCGGGAGGCTGAGACAGGAGAATTGCTTGAATCCAGGAGGTGGTGGTTGCAGTGAGCTGAGATCACACCACTGCACTCCAACCTGGGCGATACAGAGGGAGACATCTGGGGAAAAAAAACAAGAAACAAAAAACAAAAACAAAACAGAAACAAAAACAGGATCTGATTCAAGAAGGCCTTTAAGGTCAAACCAGCTGAGACTACAGCAACCAAGAGAGCCGCCAAAATGACTTCAGAAAGACTCACGCTTCCATTGTAATCCCCTTTCCAGCTAAATTGCACTCCCATCCGTGCCTTGACAGTTGACAACTTCATGACACTGAGTAGAAGTCCTAAAAGGACCGAAAGGAAAGAAAGTATTACCGGTTTGGAGAAGTTCAATGCCTGTTCCTATAAAATATATGAATATTCCTCCTTCACTTTTTTTTTTTTTTTTTTTTGAGACGGAGTCTCCCTCTGTCGCCCAGGCTGGAGTGCAGTGGCCAGATCTCAGCTCACTGCAAGCTCCGCCTCCCGGGCTTACGCCATTCTCCTGCCTCAGCCTCCGGAGTAGCTGGGACTACAGGCACCCGCCACCTCGCCCTGCTAGTTTTTTTGTATTTTTAGTAGAGACGGGGTTTCACGGTGTTAGCCAGGATGGTCTCCATCTCCTGACCTCGTGATCCGCCCGTCTCGGCCTCCCACAGTGCTGGGATTACAGGCTTGAGCCACCACACTCGGCCCTCCCCTTCACTTTGTAATGCCCAATTCTCCATTGTGGAGCAATACTACGCTTTAGGCCCCCTCACTCCTCACTAGCCACCAGCGGAGAAGCATCAGAGAGTTGTTCTCATTCCTTAGAAGTCCTGTGCAGGAAATAAAGCTGCTCTGCCTGGAGGCCTCACTGCCTCCAGCGTACTGGCCCACACCCCAACGAGGAGAAAAAGATCCTACCTTCTGCAGCTACCAAGATTTTTGGTAACAAGAAGAGTGATTATTTTTCATTTTCGTAAGGTCGTTTCTCTTCTGGAAAATTTGTAAGCGCTATTTTTTGGGCTTCATAGCATACATTCTCTTCTTTACTAGTTTTTAAAATTTTGACTTTTATTTTAGATACAGGGAGGATGAAGGCTGGTGAGCTCACGCCTGATCTCAGCACTTGGGAGGCTGAGGCAGGTGGATCACCTGAGATCAGGAGTTTGAGACCAGCTGATCAACATGTAGAAATCCCGCTCTACTAAAAATACAAAATTAGCTGGGCGTGGTGGTGCATGCCTGTAATCCCAGCTTCTCAGGAGGCTGAGGCAGGAGAATCGCTTGAACCCGGGAGGCGGAGGTTGCGTGAGCCTTAGATCACGCCATTGCACTCCAACCTGAGCAACAAGAGTGAAACTGTCTCCCCAAAAAAAAAAAAAAAAAAAAAGATAGGCATGCCGCTTTGTTACATGAGTATGTTGTCTGATGCTGAGGTTTGGGGTGTATGGATCCTGTCACCAGGTAGTGAGCATAGTACCTACACGAGTTTTTCAACCTATGTCCCCACCCTTCCACTCTAGTCGCCTGCGTCTGCTGTGGCGATGCTTGCGCCCATGTGTGCTCAGTGTTTAGCTCCCAATTATAAGTGAGAAGATGCAGTATTTGGTTTTATGTTCCTGTATTGTCACTTAGTTTATGGCCTCCAGCTGCATCCCAGCCATTCTTCTTACTTTGATTGAAGTGTATGTTTTGAAAATCTAGCTCTACACAAATATTGAGCTGAAAAGCATGATTATTATTGCTGTTGTTTAGAGACAGGGTCTCTCTCTGTCACCCAGGCTGGAGTGCAGTGGCGCCATCATAGCTCACTGCAGCCTCGAACTCCTGGGTTGAAGGGATTCTCTCACCTTAGCCTTCCCAGCATGGAATAACATGTGTGAGCTTGGCCATGCCTGGACTGGGAGGATTATTTTTAACAGCTTTTCATGTAATTGTGGATATTCATATTTCACATTACACAGAAGCTGTACAAGTAGTGATTTCTTTTTTTTGAAAGCAAATAATCCATTTTTAATTTCTTTAATTTTATTTATTTAAAACATTTTAAAATTCCAATAGTTTTTGGGGAACAGGTGGTGTTTGTTTACATGGATAAGTTCTTTGGTGGTTTCTGAGATTTTGGTACATCCAGCACCCGATTAGTGTACATTGTACACAATGTCTTTTATCCCTCACCTCCTCCCACCCTTCCCCACCAGTTCCCAAAGTATCATTCTTATGCCTTTGTGTTCTCAAGCTTAGCTCCCATTTATAAGACTATACAATGCTTGGTTTTCCATACCAGAGTTAATTCACTTAGAATAATGGTCTCCAACTTCATCCAGGTTGTTTGAATGCCATTATTTCTTTTCTTTATGACTGTGTTGTATTCCATTATATATATATATATATATATGTATATATATATATATTTTTTTATCCATTCATTGATTGATGGGCATTTGGGCTGGTTCCATATTTTTGCAATCATGGATTGTGCTGCTATCAATCTGCTTGTACAAATATCTTTTCTTTTTTTTTCTTTTTTTTTTGCGTACGGGTCTGGCTCTGTTGCACAGGCTGCAGTACAGTGGCATTATCTGGGCTCACTGCAACCTCCACCTCCCAGGTTGATGCCATTCTCCTGCCTCAGCCTCCTGAGTAGCTGGGACTACAGGCGACCGCCACCACGCCCGGCTAATTTTGTTTTGGTATTTTTAGTAGAGACGGGGTTTCACTGTGTTACCCAGGATGGTCTTGATCTCCTGACCTCGTGATCTGCCCGCCTCCGCCTCCCAAAGTGCTTGGATTACAGGCATGATCCACCGCACCTGGCCTCAAGCATCTTTCGTATAATGTCTCCTCTTTCCTTGCAGATATCCAGTGAGATTGCTGGTCAAATGACAGATCTAGCTTTAGTTCTTTAAGGAATCTCTAAGCTATTTTCCATAGTGTTTGTACTACTTTACATTCCTCCCAG